AGAATTTTTATTTATTTATTTATGTATTTATGTATTTATTTATTTATTTATTTTTATCCTCACCCAAGGACATTTTTTTTGTTTTTTGTTCAGATAGAGTGGGAGGGAGAGAGAGGAAGAGAGAGAGAGAGAAACATCGATGTGAAAGGGCCACATCGAGTGGCTGCCTCCCGCACGACCCAACCAGGGCCGGGGACAAACTGCAACCGAGTTACATGCCCTTAGTGGGGGCTGAACCCGGGTCTCTCTGGACCGCAGGCCAATGCTCTAACCTCTGAGCCAAACCGGCCAGGGCATGCTGCAGAATTTCAGTAATTAGTTTATGTGTGCCATGAGATGGAAAAGGTTGAAAATCTTTGGTCTAAGGTGCTCTTGCGCCAGGTGAGGGGGCTACTGATCTCTCACTATCACTAATTCCAATAGCTACAACTTCACCTTTTCCCCTATAACTTTACTCACACCCAGACCTTTCATTCAGAAAAGTCAGGTGAATGAGGGTCAGGCATTTTATAAAATTTGCAGAAACGCATTATGCCACCCACACTGGCCTGCGTGAACCACCGCGTGACTCACGAGGTGTGCACTCACCAAGTGGTGATCAGCCTTATGATATGGGGCTAGATCAATCCAATAAGAGAATCCAGATGGCTGGGAATCCTTTTGGCTGGGCTGCCAACCTACTGCTTTAGGGCTGCCACAAGTGAACGGAAAACCATTATGCCTTGGAACAGTCAAGAAGAAATCCCAAATTTTAAAATAATAGAGTCCAGCCAGTGTGGCTCAGTAGTTGAGCGTCGACCCATGCACCAACAGGTCGCCGGTCTGATTCCTGGTCAGGACACATGCCCAGGTTATAGGCCTGATCCCCAGTGTGGGCATACAGGAGGCAGCCAGTCAATGTTCTCTCTCATCGATGTTTCTATCTCTCTCTCCCTCTCATTTCCTCTCTATGTAAAATCAATAAAGGAAAAAAAAAAAACTTAAAATAATAGGACATCCTGATCATTAACCAGGAAGTAGCTGAGAGATGATCCCTTTTATGAGCACAGCCACATTCAGTGACCATCGTGCCTTATTAAAGTGTGTGAACCAGGAAGAGATGAGGAAGCTATAGTCAAAAATCTATCCAAATTTATTCTGAGGCCATTCCGATACTCAACAATATCAGATGCCGTGAATGACCGGGAGTCTGGCATGTCCATCAAATACCTTGACTGCCAAGGTATTGTTGAGTAGCTTTTGTAATAAGCAGCACACCATCATCAAGCTATAAATGGTCCAGAAAGCTGAAAACGTGACACAGATTAGTTTCAAGGGCCACAACAGAATGGCTGGAACGAGCTGATAAGGCTAACACAACAATATTGAAAGCTGAGAAAGTGTCGCCGGCAGTAAGGCCCAACAGATGGCCCTAGCGAAGCTCAAAAGTCTGATGCATTCCATCTTTGAAGAGCAAGCAGGTGGGGGTGAAGGCCCATGCCATGTGAGCTCGCTCTCTGCCGGTGAAACCCTTTCGACAGCAGTCACAAGTCTGATAGCAGAGGTAGCCTCTGCGTCAGACACAGGGTCCTTCGTGTTGAGCCCAGGACAGTGGGTGTGTTGCTACGTCCAGAACAATGATGCACCCAGGCAGTAATGGGCAGTGCAGTCTTGATGTGAACAGCAGCTTGATACCAGAGAACTGGCCCTTATTATGAGCAATGACATGAGTGACCCAGACAGTTTGATCAGCAGCTGTGATTTGTCATATTTTGCAGCCCCAAAGAGGGGTGTCATTAACCAACTAATCTGTAGTTTTCCAAGTGACAGACCAAATTGCCTAACCATTAGCTACATCCCAAAGGTCAATAAAAATATAAGCTTTATGAAGATGTATATTGGCCTACCTTGAGTTTTGCACAGTGAATGGGGCAATTGTGCCCATGTTTGGTTCTGCAAAGCTGGTACCGAGGCTCAACAGTAGCAGAAGCTCAGTGGAAATGTCAGATTTAAGCTTAGCCAACCGTCAGTGAACCAGGCCCCTGACTTAGAGTGATTGATCTCTGCGAACTGAGGTCCCCACTGAACCAGGAGTTTTGCTTCGGGCAACAGAACAAGAGATAAAGTACCTCAGAGAAACCGTTGGGACTTTTTCATGTAAAGCTGTGAAGCTTCTGGAGCCAGCTCAGCTGCATTCTGCAAGATGGCATTTCCACTTGACGATGAGGCTCGTTTGGACCTCCCCACCCTGTTTGTCTTTGAGTCTGGTTGATCCACCCCAAAATGGGACTATCATGTCGAAGAGTCACAAGGCCTCCATAGGTCAGTTTCGAGAACAGCCCAGTGGCAGGCTAATAGCTGCTTTTCAAGCAGATTCCCAAACATCCAAGAGGCACCTCAGATGAAGGATGCCTCTTTTTGCCAGACTCTAATGGATTAAATCATTAGTCACAAAGACTTGCAGCTCAAAGGGGTCATTAGGGTTGTGGGGACTCAAAAGTACTAGTACTTCTCTAAATGCATGTCTTCCCAAATAATGAGAATCACCTCTGGTACTTATCAGCATTCATAGTACAGGCATGTAAACACTGACACCAATTACAGTAAGTTAACGTCATCAATTGGTTCTTGGAAACTGCAACTTTAAGCAAAATGACCTATAACAAAATCAATTTTCCCACAGGCTAATTGATATAAACAAGAGTTAAGTTCCAATGGCATATTTCTGGTCACAAATATATCACCAAACTTCTAAATAAAAACCCAAAACACTTTAATATTAAATACTAAATAGATGTGTGCCACACATACATTTTATTAAGATGAATAAAAATGAGTGAAATAATTCTTTTCCAACATGCTTATTTCAGTTCAGGGTCAGGTGGCTGTAGCCTTTCCCGGCAGCTCAGGACACAAGACAGGATTCCATCCTGGACAGGATGCCCTTCCACGAAGGGCCACCCACATATACCCACCACACTCACTCAGACTGAACACACAGACACACCAGTTCACCTCAAGTGCTCACCTTTGGGATGTGGGAGGAAAGAGGAGTCCCTGGAGAAAACCCACGCAGAGTGGACAGCACGTGCAAACTCCACACAGTGACCCCTGCTGGGAATCCATTGTCCTTTCTCACAATGTCATAGTGAAATGACATAAAATAAAATAACGTGATTCAAGGGCCTGCTGTATAGTCATCAGTGGAACCTAAAACAGTACATTGAATAGGCCCAAAGGGCTCCACCCAACAGGTCCACATTTCCCTGTTCCACTGCAAAAACTGCCCAAACTCCATGAGTTGGATTCTGCTGCCTGCTCCTCCCATAGGAGTGGATAGGATGAGGAGTCATAAAGTTTGAATCTCTCCCCTCTGCAAAGTGTCCCAGCATCCTCAGGTAGGTGTGCAGTAGGTCTCACCCTTAATCACCTTTCTCCTTAATGAAGGTGAAGTCAAGTTAAGAGGAGAGAGGACACACAAAGGGAGCAAGCAGCTCCGGGCGAGTGAATACGCAATGCTTTGTATTCAATGTCTGTGGCCACACCCTCCGGGTTCACCCTCATGCACATGTTTTCAGACCACACAAAGGTCTGTATTGCATCATTTGTCCCTCACTGCTAACACCATTTATTTCTATTGGGGGGGGGGGGTGTCCTTGGCTTCGCAGCCACTGTCACATGGTCTTCAGAGTTGTTCCATTATCACAAGATTCCTACTTCCACCTGCCCAGGAGAGTGAACTAAGGCACCATTTAAGCAGCTTATTTCAATCCTACCTCTGATTGCTCAGTCTCTAATCATTAATTAAAAAGTAGAATACTGGGGGGGAGGGGGAGGGGAGCCTTATGACCCTAACCAACCTAATACTTGGGTAGCAACAGCACTTACTACTGGGTAACAGGGAGCTGTCTCATTTCTCAGTCTGGCCTGTAGGCCATTATCCTTCATCTTCCAGCAGACCATGTCCGCATCCCATTCTCATCACCAAAACTATCAAGAACTGTGAAGGATCTAAGACTTTACCCTATTTGCAGGCTAACATGTTAGTCTGGCACAGCTTTGTGGGTGCTGGCAGAAGACATGAGATTCCAGGGTCAGACACAAAGGACTTGCTTACTCACAGCAATAGCCAAAGTATCATTTTATTATTCTGGTCCTCGGCCCCAACCCACAAGACAATGCAAAGAAGGCCAAGTGATAGCAGTACATGCAGAAGGTTGCCTTACAGGAGAAGAACCCTGAGCACAGGGAACCCAAATTTTTTCTAGTGCCCTTTGCTCCAGAAGACACCCTCTATTTTGCAAGGCTCTGAGCAAACCTGCCCTTTTTTCTGGGATGGGACACTATCTCTTCTCTATCACACAAACATCATTGAAAAATATTCCAGAGTACAGGCAGTCAGTACCTCTGCTTGCAAGACATACAGAAAACATAAGAGACCATAGAGAATTGTCTAATAAATACCTTCTTGTGAACCGATAAAGTGGGATGATCTCCACTTTGTTATTTGCTAACAAACAGACCAGACACTTGAATCAGTTGGTGAGAATATGCTTCCCTGATTTATTCATTATTTTGTGTTTATATATTCATTATTTTGCTGGAGATAGTGTGACTACAGCTCAGACATAACCATATCCAACTACTTTTAGCTACTTCAAAACTAAATAATTACATAGTAACCTCATCATCCCTAATAGTGATGATACAGGCTGACTCTTTAAAAATACCGAAACTATACACATTACTCATTACCTCCAGACTAGAAAACACTTCGCAAGTCTAGTACTTAAAATTTAGGGACCAAAATACTTACTTTAAAAAAAAAAAATAGCAAAACTTATTCTGGAAAGCATACTGAAATATAATATATCTAATTTTTTAAATTAGCAATACTTTTATGTTGAGAGACATGTTAAGATATACTTACTGCTTATATGTCCACAGCAATCAGTTCAGAAATATCAATACTTGATCAATATTTAACCACTGAGGAAAAAATGTACTGCTACAGCAGTTGATTTTTCTCTTTGAATTTAATGAGTTTACATCAAAAAATTTGTCATTTTACATTTAAGGAATAAAAATCTTTAAAAAAAAAATACAAAGAGTGACAAAGGATTTTAACCAAGTTTACATTTCTTTTTGCTATAGCTTTCAACAATTCATCTCATCACATGTTATCTCAATGTTCAAATGCATTCCCAGCACCCACTACTATCACAAAACTAAACTTAAGGAAGTACACTGTTAATAATGACCCTCAGCGGAAACTGATTTCCTTTCTATTAAAAACTCCATGGTATATAACATTATACAATAATGCTACTTAATCATCTGCTGTCACAAGAATCATCACCAAAGTTTTCTGGAAATGAGTCCACATAAGAATTAAATATTTAAAAGGTGAAATGTTCCTCATTTTTAACTTTAGCAAGATCTTCCTTTTTCATTGTTAAGAAACACATTAACAGTTTTAGAGCAGAAGCTGTTATAGTCTAGAGAACTAGAACTGTACTCCTGAGTTCAAACGTACAGATAAGTCTTTTGTAGATAGTTCTCAATAAAATATCCTCCCTCCCCAACCCCCTGCCCCAGTTCTTACAAAACTTTGGTCAAGAGTAGAAATATATCCAGGCAGATGTATATGCCGTACAATAGCAAGAATGGTAAAGCCCAACTAATGACTTTGGGTTTTAGAAATAGAAGGCAATTAAAATGTACTCAAAGTTACATTAAGAAAAGCTTTCACAGGGTAATATTTAAACAGTCACAAAGGTTAAGAAAATACTGATATCAAAGTACAAATGACTACAATGTTAAAATAGACAAAAACTACTATACAAGAGCCTCTTTTAAAATTAAAAATAAAGAACACAACACATGAGTCAGGATTCTTTTCCTGTTCTACTCATGAATTTCAGTCTTTATAGTCATAGGGTTGGTCACGTTGACATCTAGTAGAGTTTCTTATGACATCTGATGGAGTCTCATTCCAACTTCAGAGGGTGGGTCTTCCCTAAGGAACCTCTTGCTTCTGGTCACATCTTGGTCATTGTACAATTTCAAAGTAGTGCAATATCGCCATGATGTGCTGAGGCATGAAGACATATCCTGTGTACAGGGCCATCCCCACAATGGAAACCAGCATGGAATCTGAGTTATAGTTAAGGAAACTTACTATTTTTCTGAATTTATTCAAAACTAAACCCCAACATTTTTTCAACAAATGTTTCAGGCTGAAGTACCTATTTACTTGATGCTTTCTCATATATATATATATATATATATATATATATATATATATATATATATATCTCAAGTATTTTTAAAGAACTAATAACTGTAGCCATTAATATTAACTGTTTTTTAAGCTCATTTTACAACTTCATCATCACCTTACAAAGTAGTTACTGTTATTCTCCCTGTTATACTTCAAAGCATCAGACTGCTTATAATTAAGCACAGAAAGTAACACTGTTGCCAGGCTGGTGTGGCTCAGTGGATTGAGGGTCGTCCCATGGACGGAGAGGTCCTGGTTCCATTCCCAGTCAGAGCACATGCCCAGATTGGAGGCTCGATCCCCAGTGGGGGGTGTGCAGCAGGCAGCCAATCGATGTTTCTCTCTCACATCAATGTTTCTCTCTCTCTCTCTCAATTAAAAATATATTTTTAAAAAAGAAAGTGACACTGGTCAACCTAAGAAATAAAAGTGTATTTAATGACTGTACAAGGTCTATCTACTTCAATAAGTAATAAGAATGCATGATCCGAGACTTTTAGATTTAGACTAGAATGCAACTAACAGCACTGACTTGGAAGCCAAAGCTAAAATCAATCATACACCAGTGACATAAACTGACAGCACCTGCTACTAGTAAACATTTAGTATTATCACTAAACTTTGCAACAACGTCAGAGAAAAGTCATCTCGATAACCTAAACAATAAACATCCTGTATGGAACTGAAACTGTATATATGCAAATCAACAAGGGGCCCTAACAAAATTAAGTAAAATCTAAGAGCTTTTCACTTTGCAGAGTCACGTGGCCATGCTAAGAGGAACAATAGCTAGTTTCTCTCTCCTCCACCCTGTCCAGCCTCATACCTCCCAGCTCCACATAACAGTAGTTCTGTAATACCTTACATTCCTTCACGAGGAGATACAGTTTATATAAACAACGTGCTTACTACCAACGAATGTTTGTGTAAGTTTAGATAACAAACGTCTTTTACATATATCTTTCAGAGTTCCTGTGAAATGTTTATTATGACCATTACTCCTCAGAGGCTGACAAAACACAGTGACTTGTCCAGGGCCACACAAGAAGCTGGAGAGCAAACAAGCCAAGTTCTAAATTCATTCCCCTCACCCAGCAAACGTGGGTGAAAAGTCTCCCACAATCATTTTAAGTGTCCTTTTTAGCCTCTCTGAATCCAGTTCTTTCTTAAACTACCACCTTCTATTTACCACTTAATTTTTTTTTTTTTTTTAAGTGCATACTCGCTGCTTCCATATCATTCATTGCTCATCACCCACACACCTGTCTGATTCATACCCCTCCAGGCTAGACACACTGCTCTCGGGTCACCAGCGACCTCCTGGCTGTCTGAACTCACACTATTTTAGCTTTCCCTCTTCGAAACTCTTTCCACCCTGGGCTCAGCTACACACTAGGGCTCTCCTCCCATCTCGCTCATCACTTTTCTGTTTCACTGGCTGTTTCCCCCTTTCTGTCCCTTTTGTGAATTCTGTGCTTTTCTATCAAACATCCACTCCTAGTATAGCAGCCACGCCCTTTAGGTGGGATTAGCCCTAACCCACTGCCAGGGAGAAGTCTTAATTGATCTTAACCAATTATTAAACCCTTCTCTTTGTAACAATGCCTGCCCCCAAAACTATCAACCAGCTCAAAGCTTAGGATTTCTGCCGGGAGTTCATGACCACAGAGCCCCTCTCTCTGCCTGGAATATGCTACTTGTTGATGGAACCTTAGGGTCACTGGTGTCACTCTGCCTCCATGAAGAAAGCAAGACTCGGAACAAAGCTGACTCGTGAAGGTGATGGGACAAAAATAATCACAGGAAAATGGAGCCAGAACCCTGATCAAACCACTCTGAAGCCCACCCTACCACTGGATTTTCTGCCAACCAATTCCCTTCACTCTTAAACCAGTCTGAGTTAGACTGTCTCTGTTACTAGCAGCTGCAAGCTTTCTAAATGATAAAAATGGAGTTCCCAATAGTTTGTCTTGGGTGCAACACACTCTTATAACTTAAACCACCACCTTCGTGTTGTTGATCTGACCCCAACTTCCATACTACAGACAAATATTTCCTACAACTCACTGAACATTGTTGCCTATGACATCCCATAAGGTATGATGCAACAGAGCCAAAACTAAATTTATTTCCTCCAAAATCTCTTGCTATGAGTCCTATTTTTTCAACTACTTGAAAATAGTTGATATAACTGAGACAAACTATTTGATACAACTATTTATTAACTATTTGCTTAGTCATCCAATCTACAAACTTCTTTGATTCCTCCCCACATTCAAATTATCTGACCTCTCAGTTCTTTCCAACCCCTACAAGGGACTTTATAGCTCATGGGCCCCTGTGCTCATCAATGATAAATGACTGAGGTATTTATTATGCCTTACTCCGTCCTGTAAAAGCTCACATTTTAGGCCTCTGGCCGCTTTCCATGCCACTCTTCACTAGCGTGATCCTTTTACAATGCAGTAGGCTTCCCAATGCCCATAGGATAGCACGTGAAATTCTAAGCCAAGCATCCAAGAACCTTTCCAATCTAGTCCACACTGCCTGTCTTAAAGTCCACAGAAGCAGACAGGATTTGAAAGATCGGGTGAGGGATTCTTGTATCGTTTACCCTGGTGGGGGTTTCATCCCCAGGGGAGTGAGTAGAGCAAAACAGAGCAGGTTCGGGGGCTCAGCTCCCAAGGGAACCGTCCAGCCCTCAGGCTGCATAACCGATACCAGCTAACATCACACACCGCACCAAATTAGCCTGACCAAATAGAACAGGCTAATCGTTAAGCTGATAATTGTGTATGGCCCTCAAATGATGTTCTAAATATCCAAATGGCTCTTGGTAGATAAAAGGTTCCCCACCCCAGCTAGTCAGAGCATGAACTGTACCACATAGTTGGTGACACTCTGAGGCCAGGGGCCTGACCTTTTGTATCCTTTATCCATTGGCTGCAGGATGAGGTGAGGCAAATCCACCTGAGCAAGACAGGTGCCTTGGCTGAGGGCAGTAGTCTGGAGAAGGGGGCAGATAGGTGGCATTAGCACACAACACTCAAAGGGGATGGGGGATCAAGGTGGGGACCAAGAGCATCACTGCCCTACCTTTCCATCACCGGATTTGGAGTGTGGACCTCCCAACACTCCAAATCATCCCAACAAACACCATCCTACTCCCAGCCATATTACATGAGCCCTAGCAAACAACATTCTTTACTTTCATATTGCTCTTTCTTTTAATATGGTTTAATAATAACATAAGAATAATAGTAATAGCAGCAGCCTTCATTTGTGAATGTCTAGTGTGTGCCCACAGTTAGGTACTTCAGCATGTTCAAGTAACAACCCCAACATCAGAGCAAACAAGGGAGCCAGTTCCAAACCAAGTTGAACACAAAAATCTGTGTTTGTAACTGCTAGACTATACACAGCGACTTTCGCCCTTTTTCATCTCCCGGCACACATAAACTAATTACTAAAATTCTGTGGCACACCAAAAAGTATATTAGCCCAGCCAGTGTGGCTCGGTGGATTGAGCATCGTCCTACAGACTGAGAGGTCCTGGTTCAGTTCCCAGTCAGGACACATGTCTGGGTTGCGTGCTCGATCCCCAGTAGGGGGTGTGCAGGAGGCAGCCGATCAATGTTCTGCTCTCACATTAATGTTTCTCTCTCTCCCCCCATCCCTATCTCTCTAAAAATCAATTTAAAAAATATTTTATAAATAAAATAAAGAGTCCTATTCCTCCTAGTAAAACCTAATCCTTCTTACTCAGTTATCTTCTCTCATAGAAGGCCTACCCTAGCACTCATATTTTTCCCATTCTTACCCCAGCCTCCTGGCAGAATTAATTCCTCCCTACTGCTCATATAAAACAGCTCTTATCACCTGACTCTACCTATTTGTAGATATATTTCTCTCATCCAAATTATCAACTCCTTGAACATAGGAACAATGTCTTGTATCTCCTACATCTAACATGACACATGCTCAATAAACACTTGATGAATAACAAAATGGCTCAAGAAACATTATTTGACTGGAACTTCCAACTATTCCACACATTATGTGACTGACAAACTTTATAGTGACTATGCAGGAGAAAAACAAATCCATTTTAGGATCCATACTGTATTTTCAAAATGCTTTTTTGTTTTTTACAGCTTTTGTGTAAAAGTACTCACTGAGCATATGAAATGATATAGTAATAATTTCAGATCATTGGTTCAAATTCAATTCAAATAAGAAGTGATTACTAAAAACAGCTATTTGATTGTATCATATACTCTTTAAGGCACTATAATTCTCCAATTTTGTATGGAGAATATATCAGTTAAGGAACATGCAAAAAATGTACATAAATTAGCTTAACAGAGATTACTCCACTATAAGACAAGAATCTGAAAACTAAGCTCAATTTTGTGAACACTAAATTGCCTAACTTTTAAATTTTTATATGCATATTAAATCATGTTTTCCTAAGTGAAACAAGAACTTACCAAAGTTTTTTTTTGCCTGATTAAAATAAAAGATATTAGAGTATGTGACTTTATATAGCGTGTTGTGATGCATACATGTGGAATAAAAGTAGTAAGAAATAAATGACAATTATATATGCTAAATTCTGGATAGTGGTTATTTGGTGGGGTGAAAGGTAGGAGGAAGAAAAGAGAAGCAAGAGAAAAGGGACATCGCCCTGGCCGGTTTGGCTTAGCAGTTAGAGCGTCGGCCCACGGACCAAAGAGTTGTGGGTTCGATTCCAGTCAAGGGCATGTACCTGGGTTACAGTTCGTCCCTTCCCCTAGCTGGGATCATGCAGGAGGCAACCAGTCGATGTGTCTCTCTCACATCGATGTCTGTCTCTATCCCTCTCTCTCCCCCA